AAACCCAAGACTTTAAATCTTTTAATAACCTTTATTGAAATGCCTTAACTCTAAAAAAGAATCCATTTCCATTATAGGAAATATGACCATGTAGGTACAGGCACAAAGAAAAAATAATATTATTTTAGTGAGTTTTTATTCTTTATATTTTTAATTTCTGGAATGTTTTTGATGTCTAAGAATCCTTTTTGTTCCTATTTCTCCTTCTCACGGTAACTTGCACTTTTTTTTTTTTTTAATGAATTCCATATATTCTCAATACTCAATGAGGATGCTACCTGGATTTCTTTTCATTCTCATTAATTCTCTTTCCCTGAAGCAATTACTCTTATTGTCCAGCTAGATTTCCTTCTATACTAACTCCTGATTCTTCTCAAATGCCTAGTGATTTTCTGATGCTTGTGCATATTTATAGGTTTCAATATCAGTAGCTGATATGGAGTGGATCCCTCTGGTAACTGCAGAAGTCATACTGATTGATTTCCCCCAGCTGGCCTACCCCAGAGTTTATTTTTGCAGGAATACAGGCTCTCCCTCACCTCTCTCACAGCCTCCCAAAGCAGACAAAATCTGAGATCAGTTCACACATCCCAAGCTACAATCATGGCTCTGTTCCTGCCAGCTTCCATGTAACTCCAACAGGAAATTAGGGAATCTATCATTTGCCACAGAAGGTGGGAGCTGGTTCATTCAATTGAACAAGCTACTGACTTAACACCATCACCCTCTCCTACAATGTGAACTTGTGAGAGTTCCAGAAAAGCTACAATTCCCTCAGGGTGCCATAAATTAAAACACACCAGTTAAATACACTTCTAAAGGGAAACTAGAAACTTGACTACTAAGTAGAGATGAGTGCTTGAACTCAGCCTCACATTCTCCAAGCATCATGCCCCTGTGTGTGGCACAATTAATGGGCACCAAAGACTGGAAAGAAAAATGTGTACTTGCCAGGAAGTCCTTTACACTTCGACCTCCAGTAAGGTGATACCAAGAACACGGGTAAAGCCAGGAACTGGCAAAGATGACGCCTACACGAAGCTCTATACCACAGAGGGAAGAGAAATAGAAAATCCAGTTACATGGACAAATAATTTTATCAAAATGATAGCGAACACCCAGGAGACTATTTTATTCACTTTTCAACTATATTTTTGTCAAATGTACAGAAACCGTATGTCCCAAGCTTTTGTGTTCCCCCCATATCTGTCCTCTCTCTGGCATATCTATTGTATTGTTAGCCTAGCTTCATGTCCCCCTTGATCTCTGTTCCCATCTGATCTCAGCTTCTGAAGGAACTTAAAGCAAAGCTTGCTACGGCCAGCCAGGCACAGAGCGTGGGTTAGCCACCTGACACACTTGGGTTTCCACATTAGCCCCACCCCTTACAGACTGCATGACCTTCGGAAATTACCTAACCCTCCTCACCTCCAGTTTCCCACCTGTAAAATGTTAATGGCAATGGCCAAGGTATGGGTAACACATTACCAAAGCACCAGGAGTAGGGTCCCAATTAGTGAGATGATGAGTGTGGATCCTCTAGTTTTCAACTGAGCCCTTAGAAGTTTCAAAATTCCAGAAGTTCCTTTCATGTACAATACCCTATATGGGTGCTGGGAAGAACATGAAATCTCTGGTGTAATCACATACCTGCTCTCAAGGCGGGTACATCAGCCCATTCTGATCAAAATGGAGCTCTGAATAGACTTGGATAAAAGTTCTTTTTGCAGAGACAGCTCTCCTGGAGACAATGCCGAAGCTTAATTCCAAATCTTTTCTGTATTCCACTGCAGGGGGCAAGGGCAGGTGGCAATTTCACTGAGCTCTAAAAGCCACTTAATCTCTTTCTGGAAAATAGTTAAGTTTTTCACTCTGTTGCCCAGACTTCCCTCTCGGGTACATGAGCATTCAAGGGTATCTTTCTTATTTCTGAAAACTCCAGGCTCTGGAACTCACCAGGTCCTCCTTTGCCACTGGGGAAAAGTAACAGTGATGTTTCCCTAAAATTAGAATTCAATTCACCAGAGTTGGATTTCTTACCATTACTAACAAAGTTTCCATGCAGAAATAACTTGGGTATTATATAGGGCAAGAGTTCATAGGAGGACTACAAGTTTCCTTCTTATTTTAATTGTATGACTTCTGATTTTTAATTTAATATTGATTATGCCAAAATTAAACTCACCTACATGCACCAGAACATGAGAAATATGGAACCCAAATATAACACAAGAGTTAGTATTGACTTTTACTAATGACCTTCTCCTACTTCTACTCCAAGAACAGTTCTTCTTCAGGACCCTTTGCTATGAAATTGGGACCCTCCTATCAGTTAAAATCTGAACCTACAAAAAACAAGTCCTGTATTTTCCCAGTACCAATATTTGGGAGAGTTTTGCTTAGATTCACACTTTGTGGGGGACAAGCAATTTCAGAGAAGTGGATGTCTGCTCCTACGTGGTTGGCCAGGCAGGGTCACCAGGAAATGCAGTAACCAGGCACTCCTTGTGAGATTGAGGGGGCCCACATGGGGCCCACATGGGGAGGCCACTGACGTTACTTTCAGGTTTGGCCACTTCATGAAGCACGCTCACATTACGATTAAACCTCCCATGCCCTCTGGTTGCCTGGTCACAGAAGAAATAAAGCTGTGAAAGCACATATTGGAGAAAGCCCAGGCAGAGTGCTCATAACTAGAAGTGTTTACCTCTGAGGAGGAAGAGACCCACATGGGGAGGCCACTGACGTTACTTTCAGGTTTGGCCACTTCATGAAGCACGCTCACATAAACCTCCCATGCCCTCTGGTTGCCTGGTCACAGAAGAAATAAAGCTGTGAAAGCACACATTGGAGAAAGCCCAGGCAGAGTGCTCATAACTAGAAGTGTTTACCTCTGAGGAGGAAGAGACGACAGCAGTCACTAGTCCAGGGGGCCCAGGGTCCCCCTGAGGAGACCCCAAAGACTCCCTACTCTGGGGAATCTGGATAGTGAGGAGCATAGTCAGCCTTATCAACAGGGTTTGCAAGGAGCGAGGCTCCGTGAGCTTATTTGGGGCATGTTCCGCCCCAGCAGCCGAGGCCAGAAGGAGGGTCTGGACTGGGCAACTGACCTATCCCCCACCACTAGAGGCCATGGACACTACACCAAAGGGGACTTCAGGGAAGGTGGGGGGCACAAGAAAACTGCCGTGGTATGTAGGTTGGGCTCAGCTGATGGGGTGAGTGCTAATGGTCCGATCCAGATGTTCCCCCAACCACCACCACCACCACTTCAGCTCACAACGGGTCTGTAATGTGTGCAAGAAACAAGCCTTTGAGATATTGGTTACCACAGCATAACCTCTCTTGTACTACCCTAAACATCCTAAAACCCAAATGCTTTTCCAGACTGAGAAAATTTCTGTTGTTTATACCCAAAAGTCTATACCACTCACGCATAAATACGAGATGACAGTTGCAGCAATGCAGAAGTAACATTTGACCAAAATGCACATTGTGTGTAAGTGCATTAATAATTGGAAACGTTGAGGACTATTTCTGGATTGTGGGATTATGAGCAATCTTTATTTCTGTATTTTTCCAATTATCCTCAATACATATGTATTCCTTTTACAATCAGAAAATAATGTTAACATTATTTTTAGAGAAGAAATTTGTTGCATTGACTTGAGCAGAACATATTGGGACACATGGATATTCCAAAAATGGTTCTTCACGGCTGCAGGCACAATTTTCTTGCCCCCTGCCTGTCTCTGGCTTCTGCCTCTCTTGTCCTTGTGGCTCTGCTCACCAAGGTCACCCTTGGCTTCTGCATGGCCTGGGCTCTCATCACTCCCAACTGTGCTGCCTGCATGTTAGTCTGTCTCCCTGCTAGACCCTGAGCTCCTTGAGGGAGGGCCAAGATGGTGTTGGGAGTGTCAGCAGGCCGTGCTCCACTTGGGGGTGGGGGAGTAGGAGACCCGTCCCAGGCCTCTCTCCATTTCTGGCAAATGTGGCATTCCTTGGTTTGTCATCCCATCACTCCAATCCCTGCCTCTGTCTCCACATTGCCTCTTCCTTTGTGTGTCTGTCTCTCTCTCCCCTCTTAGAAGGATACAAGTGATTATATTTAGTATCCACCCAGATAATCCCAGACAAACTCCTCCTCTCAAGAGCCTTAACTTAATCCCATCTTTTGCCACATCATGTAATTATTCACAGGCTCCGGGGATTGGGACATGGACATACGTTTTGGTTGAGGGCAGGTGGGGAAACGCCATTCAGCCCACTATACATAGCATAAGGTGAAATTAGTATTCCATAATATTTGTTAAATGCACCAATAAATCATAAATAAGTGAAGGACTCCTCAAAGGCCTGACCTCCTCCTGGTATATTCTTCCCCAGGCTTGACAAGGCCCATCTTCTTGCAGATGCAAATCTGCAGCCCATCTTCTCACCCCACACTGGGACCGTAGGTGTACTGCTGCCCACCTCCACACCCCGCCCGCCACCCCAGAGCTGCTTAGGCTGACTGTGTGGTGCAGTCTTTCCTCTCTGCTCCCAGGCCCTAGCTTACTCTCTGGCACAGAATTAAATGTTAGATAAACAAGTGACCTCATCCTAAATGAACTAAGAAATGAAATAAGAAAAATGAAAATGGAATTACTGCAAGCGCCACCCTGCCCCATGTCCCTGGATTATAAAATCTACATTTAATTGAGGTGCAACATAAGAAAGTGCTTCACGGTATCTAGAAAAAGGTACATTTGGACCCGAACCTGTGGCTCCTGACAGGCTAATGCAGTGTTGGCACAGGGTTCTTTAGAAGAGGGAGAGACCTTGTTTCCCTTTGTCCGGTGGGTTGTTTAATAAAGTCAGTTGCATGCTGAGCAAATCCACACGGGATCTGCAGCCCTTTCTCTCAAGGCTGATGGGAGGATTAATCTCCATTGGTGATACTTCTTTCTTTTGCAGTCAAGTCAGCAGGAGCTCCTGGCTCAGAGTGAATCTCACCAGATGGAAGGCTGGAGGTCCAGGCATGCTGAACACAGAATCAACACTGTAATTATTAGTCATATTAAAGAATCAAAGTAATTGAGTGGAGCCGGCTCAGAGTGAATCTCACCAGATGGAAGGCTGGAGGTCCAGGCACTGCCGAACACAGAATCAACACTGTAATTATTAGTCATATTAAAGAATCAAAGTAATTGAGTGGAGCGGCCTGCTATGGATAACTAAGGGTGTAAGCAGGGGGGTTGCAAATCTCATAGTTAACATTAAAACCACTTTTCTCCTCATAGGTGAATTAGAGATAATCCAGTAAAGAGATATTTTTACTTTTCAGGGATCTTGGTTCATCCCAGGCGCTGTGCAAGATCCCCATTTCTGGTCAAGCTGATCCCTGTGAGATGTTAATGTTAGAAACTTGAACCATAGATTGTCTTTAGGAGATATCTCCCCTCATATCAAATCTCAAATGTTGTACTGGTGTGACTTCTCACCATGAAGTAAGGCTGTAAATTATGATAGAATGCCTTTGCAAGCACACAGGATTGGGAGCCCACCCCTCCCCTGTAATTTTCACTTGAGAACAGAACTGACAAATTTAGAGTGCTGACATTTGACAGTCCTACCTGCACCCTCTTTATCCAGACAGACATGACACAAATCCACATTTGCTGCGGACATGGGTTCCCCCAGGAGCCACCCATGTTTACAGATCAAAGCGAAGGGCAGCACTCTTGCTATCAGGGGAACCAGAACCACTGATGGAAAAAAAGAGCAAAATGACCTTTTAGCAATGAGGCATCTGGAGAAAGCCGTGGGTCTCCTTGTGTGAAGTGACAGCCAGAGCTAGCAAAGACCAGGGGGGAAAAGGACAGTGAGGAAACGGAAAGAACCTGGTGGAGCAAAGGAGTGCTCCCCAGTGAATGTGCCCATCCCTGCAGACTCTGGGCTGGCCTTGTGGTCCTGCCCTCTGCTGACAGTGTTGTGCCATAAAAGCCCCAATGCAATTAAATGCAGGAGTGGCACACCTTTCCCTGAGTCACTTGCATTTTCATTTTATTACTCTAGCTCTTTCCTTCCTGCACACACCTCTCTCTTAAAAAGCTGCTGCAGCTTTTTTTTGGTTTCCTGTCTCTTGCTTCACCCATCACAGAAGCAAGCCTTTAGCTGCCAAGAGGAAAGAAAGCAGTCTCTACTAACCCATTTCCTCAAAACTGCTGGTCAATTATGTTAGCTTGACTTTTTAAAAATGAAAATACACATTCTTTTACATATAAATAGAGAAAAACTGGGAGAACATACACCAAAATGTGCATAGTGGAGCTCTAATTGCGAGTAGGGGAGGAAAAAGAGAACAGACTTTTACTACATTTTTGTTTTGCTTAAACCTTTTCTTTCTTTTTTTCTTTCTTTCTTTTTTTTTTTTTTTTTGCAATGATCCTACATTACTTTTGCAGTTAGAATAAATCAATAAAGATATTTTCTATTTTTAAAAAGAGCAGAACAAGATCATTTTTCCTCCTTACTTTGCCAAGGGAAAGCGGGAAGATCATGCTGTAATTGCAATCAGTAGAGAGATGGGTGTGTGTTTGGGGGTGTGTGCACACACTTGCATTTCTCATAACAGTGAAAATGCATGCATACAAAGAGCGCGGGAGAATGGTGCCACTCTGGGCTTGTGCTTTCCATCTGCAAGACCTTGAAGTGTGAATACTCCATCTGCACTTCCCTGGCTGTGTGTGAGAAACAGTCAACTCCTTTTCCTCCTCTCACAGCTGTGCGGCAGGGACCTTTGTGCCACTAGGGAGTAGGACTCTTGCTGGCGTATGCCAAGAATCGTTATGGAGAGGGTGGTGCCTGAGTACCAGCAACACATAACTAACAAAAATAAAGATGTATCAAAGATGACTGATAGGAACAGGCACACGTGCATTCAACCAACTGAGCCAACAAAAATATATGGGTAAATAAACATTAAAACAAGGAAATGGAAAAAAAGAGAAGGGATAGTGGGAATTACTAAAGTGAATGGAAATAGATAAAGTTGACCTAAAGATGCTTGTGCTGAGGAGGATGAGAAGAAAGGAGGGATGGGGGACAGAATCTCTTCTTCCTGACTTCTTGTCCTAAAATCAGGGCTTGGAAATATAATACCCAAAAAGCAGTGGATACTCTGGTTCCACCTCAGAAATGTGGAGAGCTGAAGAGAGCGTTGCAGCCACACTTATTACAAGAAAAAGTGGGACAAGCCACAAATTGACTTTTCCTAAACCCATCAGAGAACTGAGTTCACAGGCAAACATCCAACCTAAAATCTGGGGAGACAGGCACCTGCAGGGAGAAATAAAGCCAAGATTTGTTGACCTGAAGCAAACACTGCCAATTACCAAATAAGCTGATAAGGAGATTTAGCTAAAATGTTAAAGAGTTACTAAAGGCCGAGTGTGGTCTAGTGAGAGAATGTGAAGCTCCCGGGGGCCACAGAAATGGCAGTCATATTCTCTTGCAGATTTTACTCTACAAACCCCACCACATGCATACTAGGATAATTTGGAGAAAGCTTTTGTCCATGGTGCTGGCTGGGAGAGGGGAACAGCAGCACTGCTGAGACCTCACCCAGACCCATTTTTCCTATCTGTTCTGTGGAAGAAAAGCCTTAATCGACAGGGAGAAGAGCAATAAAAATGGACATCTTGGATAACTGGTAGAAACCTACTGCAGCAGTGAGAAGGGAACAGAATTTGTTTTAAAGCTCTACCATGGGGGAATGGCAGGATCACGGTCTAGGTTAAGCAAAAGTCCTGCAAGAAGGACAGGAACAATTGTGAGGGTCACACCCCCAAGACCCAGGCTCACGGTGCCTGCCTAAGACTGAGGCTTAATAAGAACATCAGAGAGCAGCCTGTATGCTTTCCCCTGACCCCACAGTAACAAACATTGAGTAAAAATAACAGTGGAATACAGCCCAAAGAAGTGCAAGAAACAGATTCTCTCTGGGGAGTAGAAACAGAAGTATCCACAGATGAATTAGCAGCCCACATCCTGAAAACAAGTTATCACTAGAGAAATCTGAAGCATGTGGGACCCTAAGCGTAGCCCAGAACAATAAAACCTTCCATCTCAACCCATCTCCTGACTAGATTAACACAAACCTTCACAATGAAGACCTAGAAGAAAAAAGATAATCTCATTTCCAAGTGTAAAAAAAATTACTTTAGTATCTTCTGTCCTATAAAATATGTACAGCTTTTGTATGTATGACATACAAAAAGGCAAGAAAAAAGCATATTCTGAAGAAACAAAATGGTCAACAGAGACAGACATATATGACACAGAAGCTGGAATTATCAGAGATTTAAAATAAAATGACTAACATGTTAAAGGCTTTAGAAAAGCAAGATCATATAGATAATTCAGCAGAGAAATAGAAACTATACAGAAGAGTCAAGTAAAAACCATGGTAATAGAGATGAAGAACGCCTTCAACAGAGCATCCAAGAGCTATAAGACAATCAAATGATCTAACATATGTAAAATTGGAATCCCAGAAGTAGAAAATAAAAAGAACAGGGCAGAAGGAATACTTGAAGAAGTAATAGCTGAGAATTTTCTAAAATTAACGACATAAACTAACCACAGGTCAGAAAACTCAGAAAACATCCAGCATAATGAATACACACACACACACACACACACACACACACACACACACACACACACCCTTGTATTTATCATATTAAAACTTCTGAAAACCAAAGGCAAAGAGAAAATCTTGTAGGCAGCCAGAGGAAAAAGATACATTGCTGAAAGGGGGACAAATTAACACCGCATGAGATACCACTATGCACCCATTAGAATGACAGTGAAATAAACTGACAATATCAAGGGCTGGCGAGGATGTGTAGACACTGAGACTTATATTGCTGGTAGAATATAAAATGGTACAGCTACGCTGCAAAGCAGTTTACCAGTTATTTACAAAGATAAATATACACTTAAAATATGACCCAACAATCCCATCTGTAGATATTTATCTTACAGAAATGAAAATGTATGTTCACGCAAACATTCTACTCATAATTACCAAAAACTGGGAACAACTCAAATGTCCTTCAATGAGTAAATGAATAAACAAAATGTATTATATCCATGCAATAGAATTGCCTGGCAATAAAAAAAAAAGAATTATTAATACACACAACAACACAGATGAATCTCCAAGGCATTATATTGAATAAAAGAGACCAGTCTCAAAACTTTACATGCTATATGATTCCATTTATGTGACATTCTGGATAAGGCAAAATTTTAGTGCTGGAGAACCTATCAGTGGTCCCCAGGATCTGGTGGTTAGGGCAGGATGCAACTACAAAAGGGCAGCATGAGAGATTTTTTGGGTGATAGAACCAGTTTGTATCCAACTTGTGTTTCAACTTATAGAGCTCTTTGCCCAAAAAGTCAATTTTACTATATATTAATTTTTAAAAATATAATAACCAAAAAGAAATAGATTGAGACGAATCTATTTGGAGAGGCAAATCCTTAGTCCTGGAGTTCCCAATCCCAGCAAAGTTTCCAGACATAAAAGAATTATTCTAATCCAAACAATGGCGGAGTGGTGACCAGGGCTTCACATAATTTGCTTTGTATGAGTCTCCCAGAACCTTCACCCAACCTGAAAGGGGCCAGGCGAACATTAATAATGAATGATGTTACATTTTCTGCCAGCCTAGGTCTAGCATTTCTTGAATATGGTCAATGCCATCAGAGCCCCATCCATAAACTTTCAGCACCTACCATTTCCATGCTTGCTGGCCCAATTCGCAACTGCGAAAACCTCCAAGGCTATACCTACATCTAAGAGTTCTACAGCTGCTGGAATCAGCCCTGCCTGCTGGAGGGTCAGACTTTGAAGTTCCAAAAAATTAATGCTGCCCAGAAGCAACCTCCAACCAGCTGCCTTGCCCCTCAGGCAGAATAACTCTGAGACATATGTCTGACACTGTTTCTCAAAGTTCTCCAGTGG